CTTAAGGCCCCTCCTGCAGGCCTGACCTGGCTTGCAGGTGTGGTGGGGCAGGGATCTTGAGCCCCTAGCAGCGCCTTAAACACTTTCCTGCCCCCATTGCGGGCTTTGTATGCCCCATCACTGGGGCCAGTAGTATTTAGAAAACTATTCAATATAATACATAATCATTTTAGAATATACTTGTACTACTATGGCTGTTTCTTACTCTGAGTTTTACTAACAGGAGGGGGGCCCCCAAACTTAATTGGGGTCTCTAGGCAGTACCATAATGCAAACAAATTATAATGTTATAACAGTTACTGATTATGACAGTTTGCTTTCACATACTGTCTCACTTCGCCTCAGAAAGGGGCTGCATATACCAATACTCTAGGTTGGGGGGGGTATATTGTTATACTATTAGATGTTAATGGCTGCCATCAAGCATGTCTTTGATCTATAGGTACTCACAGAAACATAGACAGGTAGCACTGGAAGGGACCTCGAGAAGTCATCTAGTCCAGTCCTCCCCCAACTCCTTGTCATGCTGAGGCAGAACCAAATCAGCCTAGACCATCCCTGACAGGTATTAAAAACCTCGAACAATGGGGATTGCAAAACCTCCTTTGGAAGCCTGTTTCAGTTCCTAATTATCCTTAGCATTAGTCCTGATCTATACTACAAACTTATATCAATATGTCACTCAGGCATGTGGAAAACCCACACCCCTGAGCGACGTAGTTATCCCGACCTAACCCCCAGTGTAGACAGCATGATGTTGACACGAGGGCTTCTCCCATCATCTCCCCAAGAGGCAGTAGCTAGGTTGGAGTACCTATGCCCAGGGGAGAAACTCTCCCCTCAGCATATGTAGCATCTTCACTAAGCACTACAGTAGTCAGCTGCACCCAGTGCAGCGCTGTAAGCAAACCCTCTGAAGGTTTTCCTAATATCTAATTTAACTCTCCCTTGCTGCAGGTTAAGCCCATTACTTTGTATCTTACCTTCACGGAACATGGAGTACAGTTGCTCACTGTCCTCTTTATAAACAGCTTTTAACATATATGAAGACTTATCAGGTTCCCCGGAATCTTCTTTTCTCATGACTAAACATGCCCAGTTTTTTTTACCTTTCCTCAGAAGTCAGGTTTTCTAAACTTTTTATCATTTTTTGTTGTTCTGGACTCTCTCCAGTTTGTCCACATCTTTCTGTAAGTCTGTTGCCGGAACAGGATAAAGTACTCCAGCTCAGGCCTCATCAGTGCCGAGAAGAGCAGGACAATTATGTCTCATGTCTTACACAGAACACTCCTGTTAATATACCCCAGAATATTTGCCTTTTTCACAGCTGCATCACATTGTTGACTCATTCAATTTGTGATCCACTATAATTCCCAGATCCTTCAGTGCAGTACCACTGCCAAGCCTGTTATTCCCCATTTTGTAGTTGTGTATTTGTTTTTTCCTTCCTTTGCACTTGTCATTATTGAATTTCATCTTGCTGATTTCAGACCAGTTCTCCAATTTGTCATGGTCATTTTGAACTATAATCTTGTCCTCAAAAGTGCTAGCAAGCCCTCCCAGCTTGGTGCCATCCACAAGTTTAATGAGCATACTCTCCCCTCCATACTCTCCACTCCATTAACCAAGTCATTAATGAAAATATTGACTAATACTAGACCCAGAACAGACCCATGCAGGTTCCCACCAGAAACATCCCCCCAATATGACAGTAGACCATTGATAAGTACTCTTTGAGTATGGTCTTTCAATCAGTTGTGCATCCACCTTACAGTAATTTCATTTAGCCCACATTTCCCTAGTTTGCTGATGAGAATGTCATGTGGGACCGGGTCAAAAGCCTTACTAAAAATCAAGATATATCACATCTACAGCTTTCCCCCAAGCCACTAGGCCAGTAACCCTGTCAAAGAAGGAAGTTAGGTTGGTTTGGCATTGTTAAAAGCTGATGGGCCTGCTAATCACCCTTCATTCAGGCTAAATGAAAGATGCAATAGATCTCCTTTATGGCGTAAAATAGGAGGAGACAATAGAAGCCTAAGGCACTAGGCTGCATGCAGGGCCAATTAGAAGTTGAGCCATATGGGCCAAGGGGGGTTTCTGGGGCCTGATTGCAAATGCAGGAGCTTAGGCATTGATTGGTTGCTGGGTGGAGAGAGCCAAAAGAAAGCCAGAAAAGCAGTCATGAGTGTGGGCCTGACAGGGAGCAGAGTTTGCATCAAAGAAATACCTGAAAAGGAAAAATTGATATTTTTCCTTCTAATGGAAATAGCCCGGCTATGCCTCAGATATGGACTAACCACTCAGCCCAAAGATACAACATATTATTTTTACATTTGTTTGATATTTTAAAAATAGTTGTCCCTAATATTTTTACAAATTTTTAAAGATATTTGTATCTGGCAAAAGGTTGGTTCACAGCATGCTCTCTTTCTGCTTCAATCTGCAGCAATGTTATAATGATGCCTTTGTCACAACTCTACCGTTCCCTGTGCATCACATTCTAATATCACAAACAAGGATCCAGATAGCCTCACCCAGACCTGTGCATGGAGGCCCCTCCCAAGTGGATTTCACCTATCCCATGAAGGAAGTGTGTACATATGTCTATAAAATCAGCCAACGACACTGCTCTGTCCCCCCAATCCTTTCATGTGATCACACAGATGGCTTTCCCAGGGTCAGTCTGTGTTGGAGCAAGGATTAGGAGTTGGGTATACAATGGGGAAGAGGGTGGGAAATGCAATCATCCACCAACTATTCTCAAAGAGTAACCAAAAGAGTTGATACAGCGATAAACTACCTTTCCATTTAGCCAATCCAGATAGGAAACAGCAAGGGCAGTCACAATCAAAGGAATCCTGATGGCACGGTTGCTCTATCTCAGCCAGATTGCCATGGAGCGGGTTGAGTGTGCTGGGGTTCCAGCACCAGTGTAGAGGCACCGGATCTCCATACCGCTGGCTCTTGTCCATGAGGATTCCAAGGGTATGAGTAATTTGGGGAGGAATCTCAACTAATTTCTTGCAAGGGGGTGAGAGGAAGGTACACACATGCAAACATCTTCAAAGATTTGTAGAAAACTTTGCACCCTCCAAGTATTTCAGTATTGCAGGATCAAGGCCAGGATTATAACTTCATTGTGGAATCCAGCCTGGCAATGCAAATACCATTAGATCGAAGGCTATATCATGCACTGTAAATACCATATCCCAAAACTACAAGTGGGAATTCAGCCAGTTATTAGTGCCGCATGTTTTGTTTCTATCTAAATGTTCTCCTCCATTCCTATTTACTTTTGCATAAAAATTTGTCTCTACTTGGTACAACCCCACAGTTTTCCAAAAGGTGAGTGAATTTAAATTACCAGTGGGAGCCGCGATCGGCCAAACCTGCGGATGCGGCAGGTAAACAAACCAGCCCAGGCCACCAGGGGCTTTCCCTGAACAAGCGGCGTCACAAGTTTGGGAAACGCTGGTCTAGAGATACATCTGTACATCATGGCAAGCTGTGTGTACCATATCCATGTCATCCTCAGGCAACCCACAATCCACAGAACATACAGAATAAATAAAGCAAGCAAGATTTTGCTCATGAATATCTCCACTTCTAAGAAATTATTTCAGGCATTAGCTTTGCTGTTTTATTTAGAAAATATAAGACAGTTGAAAAAGAACCTGACACTCTCAAATTAAGGTTCAATAATATCAAAAATAAGAAGTGAAGAAACAAACAAGTTGAAGATACTGTATACTTTAAACCTGAAGACAGGTGACAAAAGTGGTTAAGCAGCAAAGTGGAATGGGCGGGCAGGAATGCATAGGAGCAGAGGGAGAGTGCGGCAGGAGTTTGGGCGAGAGTGGAGGAAAACAGAAGGGGGAAATTGAAAATGCCAGAATTAAGGCACAACCTTAATTCTGTCCCCTTGTGAATTATGATACAGTCAGTCTCTAATTACATGATCAATCACTAGTTTTTCCACAAGACCCCAGCCAGGTAATTCCATTCAGGAGAACAGGATTATTCTATCCCTGCTTCCACAACAGAGTGATACTGGGCAAGTCATTTAAACCAAAATTTTCCCATGTGATCACTAATTGTGTGTTCCTCATTTTTGGGTTCTCAAGCTTGATTTACCTGGGACTAGATTTGCAGAACTGCTGAGCGCTCATTACTGCATATGAAATAGATTAGAGTGGTGCTTTGAATTTATGAAGTGGTATAAAAATGTTAAATCCTCTGAAAAATCAGGTCCTAGGCATTTCAAATTGAGCACCAAAAAGTACCGGAAACTTTTGATCTTAATCTCTGTATGCCTCAGTTCCACATCTGTAAAATGGGGATAATATCACCCCTGATCTCACAGGAGTGATGTGAAAATAAATATTGATGTTTGTGAAGCATTCAGATACTGTAGTGATAAGCGCTACAGAAACACCTGTGAGGAAGTTAACAATTCTGTTTCCAGAGCAAGGGTTGAATAGCATGCAGTAAATGGGGCCACTCATTGAACAATAAGGAGAAAACTGAATAGTGAATAGCAGCTCATTAACTGAGCACCATTCTTGTGCACAGAATGATGCATGAAAAAATAGCATGTAACCATGTAATTAAGGGCTGTATTGTAATGCACAGGCACAAGCGGGGTGAATACAGGTTGCACAGGCAACCTTCAATCTGGCATTTCTGAAATTTTGAGCACTTGACTGCCACCTCAATAACGTTCTTTTAACTATTTTTGTGTGCATATGTATCTCCACAAAAAAAAACTTAATTAAGATCTAGTTAAAGCTGTAGGCACATATCAGTGTTGTGAGTGCCTATTTCCATTCAAAGCATTTGAGGGTTTGGGGTTTTGTTTGTTTGTTTGTTTTTAAGAAGCCTTTAAGCATTAGAAATCCCCAAAATATAGAGTTAAATTAAGCCTGCACTTCCGAAACGCTGCACCGAAACTGCCTGCAGCCCTTACTCCTCCTCCTGCTTCTGCTTCTGGCAGTGCCCTGGACTCGTGATCAGACCCAAGCACATGACATGAAGCAGCTGCTGATACAGCGGAGCCACAAGAGGGAAGAAGACGGGAACAGAGGTCTGAATCAGAAGGCTGTTCTGCTTCATTGGCAGTTTGGGAGTTATCCCTTCCCCTCTCAACACACATGTCGTATGACAAGTTCCCTTCAGTATTAAATGTGCCCAAAAGATAATAAATGAATGAAAGAGAAGGACGGGTGGGTGGGAGCCTTGATCACATGAGGAGAAGCAGGAACTGGAGCTGGGCACCGGCAGTTTCTGCAGAGCAAGTCCGTGCAGGAAGTCGGAACTTCAAAGAAACAATTGTAAGTAAAGTCACTGTAAAGGAAAACACATTTATGTGCCTAGTATTTTGTAATGTGAGCAAAGTGATTGCAAGGAGAGTCACATAGATACACTAGTAAAAGTGGAATATTAAGGGGAGACACATTTATAAAGCGCAGAAGTAAAGGAGATGTGAATTTCAAAAATCAAATGGGTAGAGAGAAATGAAACTATCCAGCAGTTGGATTGACAGAGTAAATAGGTAAGCCCATATTATCACTTCATTAAAATCAAAGTAAGATACTGCCATTTAAATTAAACAATTTTAAATAATATCAATACTTTTTAATGATATGATCATGTAAAGGCAATGAATGAAGTGAATGAAAGCCCAAAGGAGAGGATGTACTGTGCCTATAATGAAAAGGAGGACTTGTGGCACCTTAGAGACTAACCAAGTTATTTGAGCATAAGCTCTCGGAAGTGAGCTGTAGCTCACGAAAGCTTATGCTCAAATAAATTGGTTAGTCTCTAAGATGCCACAAGTACTCCTGTTCTTTTTGCGAATACAGACTAACACGGCTGCTACTCTGAAACCTGTGCCTATAATGCTTCTGTGGGTATGTTAATGCTTCTCTCAGTGTGGTAATATGCCTAATTAATGCTTCTGGAGTGAGTGAGATGAAAGGGGTGAAATATCTGCTGATGTAAGTGAGCGAGGCTACACGGAAGTCTCTAGAGCTGAGCCCACTTCCAACAAGACACAATTTCAGCCTAGGCCCTCTACACAAGAACGCTGACTGTGGAAACAAATCCATTACAATCGTAATTATTAAATGGATTATCATCCATGTCGCTTTTGTTTGAAAAGGGAAAAGGATAACAGAGAGTTTGAGTTCTCAGTTACCATTTGAGTTACATTTTTGAAGAGTCGCACAATATTTGCAGATTCGTATGTGAAAAAATAAATGACATGTGCCGTTATTTCATTTGTGACTGTATTTGTGATTACTTATTTCTGGCCAGATTCCACCATCGGTATTCTTGCTGGGAAGTCCTTTACTCTGAGTTAGTTCCCTTGACATCATGGAATAAGGTACTACTCAGCATGAGTAAGGGAATTAAAATCTGGCCCTTGGTGAATTGAACTGCATATTTTTTCTATGAGAGAAAAAAGGTAAGTGAGGCATTGTCTTTTACTGGGCCAACCTACCTTGTCTCTCAAATATTTTGGGACCAAGGCAGCTACAACAACACTGCAAACAACTGTTTTTTCTATGACAGGTTCAGAGCAGCAGCCGTGTAAAAGAACAGGAGTATTTGTGAGACCTTAGACACTAACTAATTTATTAGAGCATAAGCTTTCGTGGGCTACAGCCCACTTCATCGGATGCATAGAATGGAACATATAGTAAGAAGATATATATACACACATACAGAGAACATGAAAAGGTGGAAGTAGCCATACCAACTGTAAGAGGCTAATTAATTAAGATGAGCTATCGGCAGGAGAAAAAAACTTTTGTAGTGATAATCAAGATGGCCCATTCAGACAGTTGACAAGAAGGTGGGAGGATACTTAACATGGGGAAACAGATTCAATCTGCGTAATGACCCAGCCACTCCCAGTCTCTCTTCAAACCCAAGTTAATGGTATTTAGTTTGCATGTTAATTAGAGCTCAGCAGTTTCTCCTTGGAGTCTGTTTTTGAAGCTTTTCTGTGGCAAAATTGCCACTCTGTTATATTGTTTGTTTGGGGGGGGGGGGTTTTGTTTTGTTTTTTTTACAAACATATAGCAAAATACTGTAAAAACTCTCTGAAACAGCTTGCGTTCTAAATAGACCAGACAGACAAAGGATGTGTGGGAAAACAGAGGCCTAGACAGGTGGAGTAAGTTGCCCCATGCTCTTCTCATGGTGGGGTACCTTCTACTCCAACCCTAAGGAATCTCCTGGTTTTTTCTTGGGTGTTCAAAGAGAAGACACCCCAACACCCTCCAGGGGGAAACATTTAAATAATTACATTCATTTCGCTCCATGTGGAGAGTAAACTTTTCACCTGCTGATCCTAGTTTCAAGCAAAACCTGTCACTCTGTTGCCGCAGTGGATAATAGGGTCAGTCCAGGAGGAATGGATGTGGGGGAACACAGCTCTTCCTCCATTGCTGAAAGCAGAGGGAGAGCTCCCTCTCTTCTTTGGCTGATCATGTAAGAATTCCCCATCTGGTTTCAACCTGCTTTAACCACTGAGGCCAACTAAGGAGCATTTGCAGTATTACCAGGATCCTAGCACCAGGAGCTACTACTTGGAAGATTGGCCAAAATCTCATCCACAAAATGAAGCCCCTCAATAAAAATGCCCTGATTTTCACAGGCCTGAGCACGTCTGAAATTCAGGTCACTTATTTTGATGACTAATATTGGAACCCAGGTTTGGAAAATTATGGCCACTGTTATTTATAAATATGTGCTACTTTTCCAATAGCAGTATTTAGTGCATCTGCGTGTGGAGATGCCAGACTGCACTGGGATGTTATTTTAGTCTAGTATAAAGAGTGGTACAAATACAGTGGTACCACATCACTATCACACCAAATACTCTCCTTTATATTTAGTTTTTGGAATCTTTACACATTAAACTTCTGCTGTCATGGACAAAGTTCAGTGATTTCGTGTGAATGAAATGTTTTACATTTCATTGCCACCTGGGGCTATTTCCTGATAAATTCCCAGCATTAGCTTTTACCCATAATCCTCTAAATGTGGTGTTTCTAATGTATTTAATATTTGTTACACGCGTCTACCTGCATGAAACAGCATTTCAGTAGTGTCTGTGACAGCAAACACTCTCTGCAAGCTTTCCCTCACTGCCTTCTTCCCAAAAGTTTCCATGGAGGTTTAAGGAAGAAACTTTATGACTTCCCTCCCACACATTCCGCAGAAAAAAACCTAGGACCCCTTAAACTCCATGGATTGTAAGAGCTGCAGCAATCCTAGGCTTCCATCCTGGCTCTGTGGAACAACTGCCCTGCACACCTTCCCCTCCATTCTGGTTTCTAGGCAATGTGGTGTGACTAGAGTCTCACTGCCAAGACTTCTTCCACCAGAGGAAGAGATTGCACTGAATTGCCTAATACTTGCTGTCAAGCAAACCCAAAAGACATCAGCCTGCTTGGTTCCAGGCAATCTCCCATAGCAACATTCTGGATCTAGGATCATTCCAACATTCCAGTATTAGCACCTGTCCATAAAGAACCACGGGCCTTCCCTTAAGCCAGATACATTTGAGTAGTCATAATTCTGTATTATGGCTGTGTCTGTTCTCTAACTACTCATGTTTTTCTCCCTAATCAAAATTTTATGGCGGTAGCTCATTAGGCTACATTATTCCTTACAAATTTTTTCAGCTTTTGGGAAGTAGAAAGCAGGACTTTTTAAACCCCCACATTACTAAAAATCAAACCCCATTAGGACTGCTATGATCCAATGACATATATTTATTTAATTCTCTTCTCTGTTTTCAGAAGCTGCCTGAAAGGATCTTCATTTAAACAGCATCACAACAAGAAGCATTTTCAGAACAGAAATGAACAGCTGGAGAGCAAATAACAGCTCCGTCAACAGCAATGGAACAGATCTCACTATTGGCTTTATGTCTTCTGCGATAGCTGTCTTTTTATTTGGGACAAATTTTGTACCTGTTAAGAAATTTGATACTGGTGATGGTAAACAATCTGTTTTTGTTTTTTAAATAGTTTTACCACTTGTAAGAACAGTGTTTTAAGTTTTACACACTTTCAGTGAGAATATGGAATCTGCTGGTTACTGAAACTTCCCGGCTATGTCTACATTCACCCCAGCACAGCCTTAAGCTACAGAGAGAGGTGGAAGAATCACAGCATTTTTAATTCACAACAATTCGTTTTGTAAATGCAATAATAAAAACGCCAGGAAGTGGAAAAACTTTGAGAGCCCCTTCTTATATCTTGCCATCCACTTACGAGAGATGGAGTATACTGCAGGATGCTGCAAGATGGAAAAGCAAAAAGTGAAGGGCCTTTCAGTCCCCCGCAGTTTGCACATTCTCAAATACACACTTCAGTGTGTAGTATTTACCCTTTGTAGCTGGTGATCTATTAAATATCTCCATCCCGTGAGTCACGTTATTGTAGATAACATTAAAAGCAATCAAAAGTAGAAACTTGAGTACTTCTGTCTTGGGAATATGATAACACGAAACAACCCCTTTAGTTTCTTACTTATGGTTTATGATTTTGCCACAGCACTTCACTTGCTTTATACGGGGGTCATGCTATATCTAGGTATATGTGAAGACATTATTATTATTTGTTGGTTATCAGAGTCCCACGATCAAAAAAGGCTTATCCCAAATTACTTTTCTGTAACCATGTCTGCATTACAGGGTGGATCCTAGCCTCTGTTTTCTCCCCTATTTGTGCCAATCCAGCACTGCAAAGGGGACAAAAAAGTGGGCTTAAATATTCAGCAAAGGATTCCCCTTGTGTAAGGGAAGTCCTGGGGAAGGAGGGGCATAAAGCCAGAAAATACTTCACCCACTCCTGGCCCCTCCGAGTACAGGATCTGCTGGGAGTGAGAGGAAATTTGGCCAGAGTGTACAACAATCTGGCTATCCTGTGTTACTGGTACAGCTCCAGGACTGTCCCACACAGTGCAAGTTAGAGCAGGGGTTCTCAAACTGGGGGTCGGGACCCCTCAGGGGGTCACGAGCTGTCAGCCTCTACCTCAAACCCCGCTTTGCCTCCAGCATTTGTAATGGTGTTAAATATATTAAAAAGTGTTTTTAATTTATAAGGGGGATCGCACTCAGAGGCTTGCTATGTGAAAGGGGTCACCAGTAAAACAAGTTTGAGAGCCACTGAGTTAGAGTAATTTCTAGGCTGTTCTAACATGTTCATGGTTCGGAGGGAAAGTAACTTAAGTCCATCCTCTTCAAGAGCCAAGCAGAGCTCATGTGCACCTGAGGATCTGGGCACTATTAACTCTGTCCAAGCAAGTGTAGTTACCAAGCATATGGAGAATGTGAGAACCCAGAAAAAGATGACTGGTTGACTGCTAACATCTTGCCTCAAAATATAACCTTTAAAAAATATTGTAACATGGCTACATAAACATCATAAGGCATAGTTCTCTAAAATATGTGACCAGATTTCAATTGTATCTGTATAATTTATCTGAGACATATTATATGAACAAGAAACAACAGGTTCACACGTACAATACTTGAAAGAAATCTTTTTTTTTTTTTAAACCATTGATGGTAACATATTCATTAGTTTGTCTGTTTTCTCCCCAGGAATGTTCTTCCAGTGGATTCTCTGTGCTGCAATATGGATAGTATCATTGGTGGTGAACCTTATTCAGCATAGCCCTACGTTTTGGCCTCTTGCTATGGTTGGGGGAAGTGTATGGGCTACAGGTAATGAGGAAGAGATCCTACTTCTTCAGAGGCACAGTAAAGCTAATTCCTCAGAGGAGGCAGAGATAACATTGAAATATTTGATATACTAAATGGATCTTTGTTATTTCTACTCTGTGGATCTCTTATTGTATGTATTACTGTGAACATGATATTTTACAGTTTTATCATTGACAGTGGTCTTCAGCAGCCTTATTTAAAAACCTAAAGTAATACAGGTACCAAATAATATCCATGTTTTAGAAGGGCTTAAGAAATAAGATGCTAAAGTTACCTTAACCATATAGCAACATAGGCTGAATGCTTACATTTTAAATGGCTATAAGAAACCTATTGGTCCAAGTTTTTTGAAAGTCCAAAGTTAAGCTTCTAAATAGGTGACCTGATTTTCAAGAGTGCTGAGCATCCAGCAGCTCCCACTGAAGCCAGTGGGAGCTGGTGGGTGATAAGCACTGTGTATTTCCTAATTTTGTCCTCAAATTGGATTGATATAAATTAAACCTTAAAGAAACATCCACCCCAAAAAAAAAAAAAAAGCATGAAATGACTAGACCCTCTAAGCTGTAGTCCAGTGCAGGGCTCTTTAATAGGAAGCATCACTGAATAAGACAGATTCTTCTCCTTAGGGACAGAAATATCTCTAAAACCTCTTTGCAGAATACAGAAATTTTCAGTTTAGTAAGTATATGGGAAAATATAAAAACTCAAGAATACTGGTCTCTTCCTATTCCTAAAACATGATTATTGCACAGTTAGACATAAATGGCATTCTCTTCTTGAGAGAAATTTAGGACCAGATACCAGGCATTCTTGTAGGGTTGAGGTGCATTAAAGACCTTACATACAATGCCTTCAGCACCTTCCTTTTGTAAGCACCAAATTCACACCAAGAATAGCTTTCAAAATTGTGGATGATGAAGAATTGAAGAAATTGTGTTTGTGTGTGCGTGCATTTGTTAAATATTTAACAACAACATCATGTCCTGCATATTGACTGATGTTGTTCAAAAGATCTGAATTTACAAACCATATTGAAATTCAAAGTACAAATATGAGCACTCAATTTTAAAACCAAAATATTTTGGCAATAGAATAATTTTGCTTTGTGTTTTTCCATATTGCAGGTAACATTACAGTTGTCCCCATTGTTAAAACCATTGGTTTAGGTCTTGGACTCTTAATCTGGGCTTCTTTTAATTTGCTAACTGGCTGGGCAAGCTCAAGGTAACTGCATTTGAACTTTAAACTGCACAACATGAATGCTGTCATTTCCTCATTAACAACTCTAATGAAAATATTCAACATGAATGCAAAAGATGTATCAAATAGAAAAGATTTTTTTTCTCCCAGTGAAATATACAGGTTAATTGTGATCCATTGTGCTCCCTTATTTGTGAGATTCTCAATAAGAGGAAAATGTTTACTGGATCTTCTTTGCAAAAGAGCCTAGATGCTCACTCATCTGATTAATTAAAATCCTAGTTTTCATGTGCAAGTAAAATGCTGTTTATTTTCTTGTTTTCTTTATCATCATAATTGTGCATGGTTAAATTAATTTCTTTTAGCCTGGACATTTACATTTACATGCCTTTTGGCAAAACTTCACTAAGCATGAACCCAGTCCTGATAATCTGGACTTCAGTGGGACTACTTGCATTAGTAAGGATTTCCAAGACTGGAATCTAATTTTAAATTTAATACATGTAAATGGAATCAAATAAAGCTGTGGTTAAATATTCCAGGTTCGGCTGGTTTGGAATTGACCCAGAAGAGGTATCAAAACCCATCTTAAATTATATTGGAGCTGGACTTTCAGTGTTAAGGTAAATACTCTTCCTAATAATAAACAACTTCTTTGATTTAAAAGATCATAGATTTAGCGACTGAGGAGTTGATTTAATAGGAGAGGATGTGTGTTAGTTGAATACATTTTGCAAATGCAGTTCATTTAAAACTTAATAAGTTGTCCTATCCAGTGAGACAGAGAAATATTTTCAGAATTAGACAAATGTTAATTCCAATTCAATGGCAAAATAGGTCTTCATAAATGGAGAAGCGCATTTTTATGCCAATGGACATGTTAAATACCATCCCAGATGTAGACTGATTGATTGTCATAGTTAAATTCTTCAAATATTTCACTTTGCAAATTGTTGGGCAAAGCCTTCCCTAGAAAAGGCTATGATCTCCTGGTGGAATTTGTCTCTCATTAGTCCTTCAGAGAGGTGGAGTTTGCTGCTTCTTTGCCCCTTTCCATAGACTAGGCCACAAGACCCTTCCTCAAACCTGGCAGACTCCATAGATTCAGCTGAATCCAGGACCATCCACACCACCTCTTGCCCCCAGAGGCTCTGCAATCCCCAGCAGTGAAGCTCTGAAGCCATACTGCCAGAATTCCCCAACCATGTCATCCTCCAGGACCCCCTACAGTGCCTCCAATTCTTTATTTATATATGGGAGCAGCTATTCTATGCAAGACACTTTCCAGACACTTAGGGAGGATGGAACTCACAGTTTAAGCATTTCATCTAAGCTTCATAGGCCTGGAGGGGGAACAATGTGTGTTTGCCTGGTCTTCATGGGGGAGGCTGAAATCCCCCCTTCCCAATATTCCTTCCTATCCCCTCAGGAGGGGGAAGAACCATGCATGATGGGGACCCGCGCCATTCCTTGGCATTAAAAACCAGATTCACCTGATCAAATTTGAAAGTTAAATATGTTGGTAATTACTCCTATTTAAACCTCAATGTCCCACACTCCTACCAATAACAGAACTAGGCTTCTGAGGAGGGGCTTAACATTTTCAGTTGAGTTGAACTGAAAAACATGTAAGGCTATAAAAAACAAAACAAAAAACAAATCCAAGTACTGCCTGAGGAAATGGACCTAGAATTTCTATTCTCAGTTTATGTCCCAGGCCAAACTAAGTGCAGTAAGCTGTTGAGTCTGCTGCACAGAAGCTGTAAATGTAAAGGTGTGTTAAAAACATCCTTATTATAAACAGTTTAGTTACCATCTAGAAACACTAATTCTGGTACATGTAATATGCTTTTGCTTTTTGAAAAGAAGATCTCATTCATTTTCTCCTCTCCTTATTCTCCACCTCCACCCCATGGAGGGTGTATATAGAATTTCCCTCAGGATATCCCAGTGTACATCTGCTATAGTTTGAAAATGCGGTACTGGGCTATGACAACTGTCTTTAGAAAAATAATATAGTGATATATCAGAACAGTGACATTTACATCCTATTAATATGACAAGAGATAACTATAAGGACTGTACTACGTTTTTAAAAGTGGATTTGATCCGATTATTTACTTGTGTTTAAATTAATTAATAAGATTAATCAAGCTAGTTAAGAGTTCATTTCAAGATATACTGAAGTGTGACATTGTCAAACCAAGGATGAAAAATAAGGAACAAAATGAAAATGTGGATTATGCCTTCAACTACTTTGTTTTTGCCCTGGGGTATTAAATTTTATGAAATGATGTTTGGTACATGTTAATGTACTTTTCTCTTCACAGCACTATCATATTTCTTTTTGTAAAAAGTGAAGTTCAAAGTTCTTCAACTTCATTAGAAGCCACCCCATTACTGAGAGAGAGTGTAAGTACACTGACTGTTGTTTTACTTCACTGAAAATATGCATCAGCATAAAAAGAAAAGCAATTACTTGATGTTACCCGGATTTGCCAACATTCATGGTCAAATGGAGATGCCCATTTATATGAACTTCAATTTATGGGTCTTGTAAGATCGATAGCATATAGCAACAGAAACAGCTGTTTGCAACAGTCTGGTTGTTACTGGCTTGGCATGTTTTATAAGTTCACAAGTCCTTTTCTGTTATGACACAGGTTTTATAATGATTGAGAATATCCCCCCCATGTCAGAAAGGGGAAATAATTTTAATTACAGCAATTGGAGCTAAAACTGAACTGTAAAAGTAGAATATTAGATAAAAGGAAGCAAACAATGTGTCTTGGCAGCCAGATTCCCTGCTGCACAGCAGAGTGGGGAAGCTAGCAGGCAGGTAATTATGACTTCCTGTTTCTTGACCCTGGCCTTGGCACAGGTTAGAGACCTGAGGCTGGTGCCAGATGGCTGTTGTCCCTTAGGGAGCATGAACCAGGGAAGGATAACTGGAGCACAGCAGCACGCTTCAGTCAATCTCTATCCCCATTTCACTATGCTGCCTGAACTGGGGACCACAGGAAGGGAGGCATAGAAGCCAACTATGCCCACTGGATTCCTCCATATCAAGGGAATCCTCAGCAAGGGATTTGTGGGTGGAGCAAAGAAAGCAGAGAGTGGCATAGAATCTGCTTGTATTATAGAGAAGGATTCAGTGTGTGCATGGGAAGACGAAAATAAGCAGAAATGGTTATGGATCTGAAACGATACTAGTGATGGCAAAGGACCCACACAGTCAACAACAACACTGGAAACAGAGAACAAACAAAACCTCTGGATTTTAGCACCCACCAAATTTAAGGGAAAACATGTTTTGAAATCCAAATTTGTGTTTGGATTCTCTCTCTCTACAGTGTGTTGAGTTAAGCCCCAGAGTCAGACACCCTGAAGCCTTTGAAATCCTGAGCCAATCTTTTTGCTTTGGGCCTATCTGTAAACCCATGTCTCCTGACTTTCGTTGGGAAGATTTTTTCCCCTGATGTGTGACTGGTCTATTTTAAAACATGCACTTTTTTTTGGATGTTTTCCAAAACATTTGACACTAAAATTGTAACTGTTGTCAACAGTCAGTCAACAATTCTGAAAATACCTGTTCTGATGCTTCATGGGTAGACAGTCTTTCTCCACTACGAAAAAGAGTAATGTAAGTAGCTACCATTTCTTTTCTTCGTTCTTGCTAGTTGATCTGGGTTTCTTGAAGTTGCTACAAAATAGTAAAGGAACTTCTGTGTCCTGTACTGTATGAAGCACACTGTAACAAATGATTGATAGTTTTTATAAATGTTAGTACTATAATGAAGAGGTATAACTGCAAAACTACTTAGATACATTTTAACTGCTAAAAGTGTTTGTCCTTCTAATTCTTCAATGTGCTGTCTCTTACTGGCCACAATATTAATTACAATTACAAATGATCTATACTGTCTTGTGGAGATTACTTAAAATAGATTTTCAGTGACTTTTCAATTGTCCCAATATGTGTTTATGCCATCATATGCAGAGATTACAGAAACACAGGATGCTGTGGTCAGTTTTATGCAAGACTGTGTTTATTTTCTCTTGACACAGACTTAGTTTAAGCTTGAAATTAGGCAAAGGTTTCTAACCATCAGAGGAGTGAAATTCTGGAACAGCCTTCCATGGGAAGCAGTGGAGGCAAAAAACCTAACTGGCTTCAAGACTCAGTTTGATAAGTTTATGGAAGGGATGGCATGTGGCCCATTGGCAACTGGCAAAAACAAATATCCCCAACGGCTGGAGACAAGACACTATATGGGGAGCATTCTGAGTTACCACAGAGAATTCTTTTCCAGGTATCTTTCTGGTAGGTCTTGCCCACATGCTCAGGGCCTAACGGATGGCCACATTTGGGGTTGGGAAGGAATTTTCCCCTCGGTCAGATTGGCAGGGACCCTGGGGGTTTTTCACCTTCCTCTGCAGCATGGGGCAAGGATCACTCACAGGTTTGAATTAGTGTAAATGGTGAATTCTCTGTAGCTTGAAGTCTTTAAACCATGATTTGAGGACTTCAGTAACTCAGCCAGAAGGTAAGGGGTCTATTTCAGGAGTGGGTAGGTGAGGTTCTGTGGCCTGCAATGTGCAGGAGGTCAGGTTAGATGATGACGATGGTCCCGTCTGACCTTAAAGTCTATGAGACTTTTACCTACTTGCTTTATGCCTGTTAGTGGTCACTCTGTATAGTGGATCTAAATGTTCACAGCTACCAGCACATCTTAGTAAAGTTCATTGTTGTGTCTTGTCATTAACCTTGATTGTACACTCATTAGCTCTTTGTTACATGCTTGTACAGCACCTAGCTCTGTGGGGCACTGGATAGGGCTCTAGGCACTACTGTGATTTCTATATCATTACTAGCAATTTGCATGTGCAGCGTGTTTTACATAGTATCATTCTCGACCTGTTATGTCTTAAGTATATTATCTAATCTACTGGTTAATAATGGATTCCTTTCTTTCTCTCTCTCTCTCTCTTTTGTTTTTTTAAGAGGCTGTACCCTAGCAGTAGTAGCTGGAATATTCTATGGTTCCAGCTTTGTGCCCGTGCTGTACATCAAGGACCATGGTAGAAGAAATGAAACGCTATACAGAGGAGCAAGTCAATTTGGTAAAGGCCAATGAGCCATTTTTATTTCACCTTATAACTACTGTATGTCCTATTGATTTTGTAAATTGATTTGGTGATTTTTGCCATGCCTCCTGGTGTTATGTGGTGACAAAGGAGTCGGTGCACATGATTCTCCACTACCTTGCCCTGTTTGTAGTCACTTACAGCTGGGCAAACTGGGTGCAATCACTCCCATTCTGATCTGGTAGTGTTTTACACCCACTTTGCGCAGGTGTAAATCCCTACACAAGATGTGAGGCAATAGCCAGTCAGGCCCAGTGAATGCCAAACTTCACTGATGTTTAGACACAATTTCATTCACAACAAAATGTTTTTTCTTTGAAGCATTTTGAAATGTAGTCACATTTTCTACTTATTTTTCTTGTGAGAGGTCATATAGATTCGCACTGCTGCATTGGTAGGCAATATTCCAAATATGTAAGGAGCCTAATTAATATAAATGTTTGGTTTCTTCATCCATTTTTCAGCTCATGCTCTGCTTTTACTGTGCAGAAAATATATTTATATGATGATTATATGAATTACCTCCATTAAGTATGGGGATAATTATCAATTATGGGAAAATATAGACACCACCTGCTTTAAAAGTGGAAATGCATTCAGCTGCAGCCAAACAAGACAAGTTCAATTTTCTCTCTCAGTTGCAGGCTTCCAGTGGCATTAATTCCACCTGGGGTGGATGTGAGAGAACACAAGGGCTTACTATTCTATGTTCCTCCAGCCTGGCCAGCATAGCGCCAGAAGTGAGTAGGTTGAGGGCATGAGCCCAGCCCAGGCAGGGCAGAGAAACTGATTTAGTGCCTACTAACGGAGCTGGAAGGAGCATTTCAAGTCATCCTTCCCCAGGCTTGACCACCCCCTACTTTGCAGCCCTATCTGCGTCTCCTTTGTCTTCCAACAATTCATGCAAGTGTATTGTACCACGGTCATTCTCTTGCAATTTCTTGTGGGAGTGGGGGCTTCATAAATTGTCTTCCTCACAGTGCTGCAGTAATAATGAACCAAAGTCTCTAATTAGACAGGTGGACAACAAGCTTCTTGGCTCCTGCAGTCTTCATCACACGACAAATTCACATAGAGCAGAGGACCTAAGAGATAGCACAAATAAGGAAAGAGTCTGTCTACTCACATAACAAGCTTAGGAGTGTAGCATTAGGACAAAAACAAGGGATTCCTTTTCTTCTTGAGACAAAAACATTGGTGCTTAAGTGTGAGGTTTAGGCACCCAAATCCCACTTTTAGGCTCTACTGTGATCCATACTCTTGAGGTCCCTTCTAGCCCTATGTTTATATGATTTTATGGCATAGTCAACTCAGTGAAAGTCCCTTATATAATTTAACCTGCATGATTGAACAACTCCATCTATAGTAATATTTGTAGTCATGTTTGGGTCACGTGGATAATGCAACAAGCTCCCTTCCTTTGTTTTTCTTATTTTTGGTTGTTTTTTTTTTTAAATGGATGGACAATGACCAAACTTCAAGTTGTTAGTATTAGTGTCTTATGCATTTTTGTATTTGTGCACACTATGTATGAAACAGCATAGAATAAGTTTAGTAAAAATATTTACAGTAACTGTGATTTTAAATCTTTACCTCTGTACCATTTCTGTTTCAGATTTAGATTATGTCTTTGCACACTTTAGTGGAATCTTTCTTACAAGTACCATATATTTTTTGATCTACTGTGCAGTCATGAAAAATAAACCTAAAGTTTACCCTGAAGCCATAATACCAGGTATGACTATTCAATAAAATAGTTATTAATTTAAGTTACTTCCTGTAATCATTTCAACTGTACTACTATAATGATTCCAAATCATACTCTTGGGATTATGGTTAATTTTGGAAGTACGTTCTCTTGACTTTTGGTATCTTTTGAAAGAGCACATGTGAAAAGGTTGGGAGACCATGAAAAATTGTGGTCCAATTTGGAATGTGATGTTGCATGTTAAAGATGTTCTGAAATTGACACTTTGCCAGAACGGAGAACACATTGCCCGGAAAATTATAACTGAGACCTATATATTGTACTGACCTTTGAAAATTTTAGAACTTCTGTGAGGAAGGAGTGAGGAGAAAAAAAAAATATCCTCTTTGCGAAAGGCCAGATGGTGATGCGGTGTCACAGCAAATGTAAGAAAAATAAACAGAAACTGAGTCAACAGAAATAGCTGTAAATTCAGTAGTGGTGAGTGCATTTGAATTCCATGTATTTTTCCAGAATTCAGTATCTAAGCAGAATTTTTGTGACACCCATACAGTTTAAATAGTCTTAAGCCAAAAGACACTTTGACCTCAAACTCTTGTCCTGCTATTAAATGATCAGTGATTAACTGATTTTTTTTTCTAATTTAATGCTGTGAATAATACCCATTGAACAAAGCAAAACCAACAAACAAAAAGCCAGGCTAAACGTTTTCCAGACTGACATATGAATGCAAAACCACAATTTCCTATACAGCAGTATAATAGTAAAGCAATTAATTACTCCATGTATGTGCTCTTTCACTTTGGTAATAATGCATTATTTTACTATGTTATTGCCATTTTCTGTAAGTGTTCTTTGCTGTAAGTCTTAAGAGAACAAAAGTATAATAATTTAAATCTGCCTGGGACAAAGACTAAAGTCTGAAAGAATGATTCTTTTGATTTCAGCAGAAGTTCTTCTCTTTCCAGCCCATCCTATCAATGTTTACTTTTCCTAGGAACATTAAGGCACATATTGTACTTCATATTTTGTCTTTATGTTGAGTAACAGAAACATTTAAGATACCAAATTTCACGATCAATTTTAAATGCAAACATTGTATTACGAAACATTATTCTAAATCAGTCCTGACTGTTTCAGTCAAATCCTACTGTGGATCTTAGAAAATCTGCACAATGAGATCAAGCCATATCTCCAACCAGGACTGGGCTAGCTGTGACAGATTAACAATATCGTGTAATATCCTGAACAAACCTTATGGAATTAAGATAAACTTAAATAAATAAAGTTAAACCTTATTGAATTAGGTTTAATACCTTTGGGGTATGTTATATTAAAAATGCAGTTCTGTATTTGTTATTGTATGTACCTTCTCTAGGACGGAGGGGAGTGCTAATATACTTTCTCCATTATCAACCTTTTGAAGGAACCAACAGGCAAGAAAAAGGTTTTTGATTGATAACCTGGTTTTAAACTGACTCAGGGCCTTCTTTCTGATCAAGCAAATGGACAGGACTCCTGGTCCACAGAGAGTTCCAATCTTTAGGGTAGGGTTGGAAGTACTAGGCCCACTGGGATCTCATAAGACTGGGTATTTGCTCTAAGCTGAACTTATAACCACAAGGAATCCCCTTGGGAGGGAGATTGAAGAACTGCTTTCTCTCCAGGATCCAGTTAGCATTGGTAAGCTTATTAGTACGTGTGTAGGTTTTTATTGTTTTTAATATGTTTTCTCGGTAATGCTTTTTACCTTAAGAACAAAGTAAGCATGCATAGAAAGTGCTTACTGTAACAATTACACCTATTAACCATCTCTGAAGAGAAAGCAAGCAGGTGTCCTTGAGCAGCCTGTCTGTGCTGGGAATAATAGAGTGTAGGCAGGGAACTGTGTCACCTGGAAATTCCCCAATAAGAAGAGAGAGAGTGACACAGAGGTCCATTCAAGAGCAGTGGTTGGGAAACTGGAAGCCTGACAATGGGTGCCCTTGCTGAACCACTGAGGGGAAATACAAATGCAGTTTCCTGAATTTTGACACCACCTAACTGCTCACCCAGAAATACTTCCTGTGGAGTTACCATTCTATGGCCATTTCTCTTGGAGAGGATGATTTTAACCCTTAATGTTAGATTTAGATAATAATCGTCAACATACTATTCAGATTCTGATTTACATTTGCACGTAGTAAATTGTAATGTCTTTCACTGCCTGCTGTAGGTGGCCTATATTTTGTTGTAGATAGTTTTCTGATTGGAATTTGTTGTTTCTAGGGTTTGTTGCTGGTGTACTTTGGGCAATAGCCAATTGTTGCTGGTTCATAGCTAATCACTACCTCAGTGCGGTGGTCAGCTTTCCAATAATCACTGCTGTGAGTACCTTTTTAAAAAAGTTGTTAATTGTGTCATTATTATTTAAAATGAGGGTTTTCTTTTCCCTTTTGGGGGATAATTTTCAACTTTGAGGTGTGCAGTCTGTACAGCCAGTCTGTAGTTCTAGTTCTGTGTCTCCCCCATTGCCTTTGGCTTTTAGGAAAGTATAATTATGACAACAACCATCTAGGGTGGCATCAAGGGTTGAATTAATGGCCTCCACATCTAAAAGAATGAGTAGATTTTAAGTGAGAGAGTCAGTCTCTGTAAAAAGACCCTCATCCTCTGTAGATGAGGCGCCGAGGGAGGAGACACTGATCAGCCAGTTACACTTTTCACTGTATTCCTCACAATTTGTGATATTTTCTGTCTTTAATATTTATTTTGCATAAAGTTATGAATTCAGATATTAATCCTTTTGTGTGTTTTCAATACAGTAACTCCTCACTTAATGTTGTAGTTATATTCCTGAAAAATGCGACTTTAAGCGCAACGATGTTAAGCGAATCCAATTTTCCAGTAAGAATGAATGTTAATAGAATCCTCTGGTCAAAAACTTAAAGTTACAGAAAACAGGAATAAACCTCCCTCTTAGCACAGGGAAAAGTCACAAGAAAAACAAAAGAGAAACTAATCCACCTTGCCTGGCTTACCTATACTGGTTGCAATATTGGAGACTTGGATTGGGATGGGTTGGAGAAGATGGATTTCTGTCTGGCCCCTCTCAGTCCCAGGAGAGAACCTCCACACAAAACAAAGAGCACAAAAAAACCCTTTCCCTTTCCACCCCCCCAAGATTTGAAAGTATCTTTGGTTCTGTTGGTCAGGTGCTAACCCAGTTATCTGAGCTTCCTAACCCCTTACAGATAAGGAGGAATACTAGGCTACCCTTAGCTGTATGGTTCTGAAAGGGGGGGTTAGGTTCCAGGAAATTTTTTTTTTGCCAGACAAAAGACTATTGTTTAAAACTTATACATGGTATAAGTTGTAAACAATTTAATACTGTACACAGCAATGATGACTGTGAAGCTTGGTTGAGGTGGTGGAGTCAGAGGGTGGGATATTTCCCAGGGAATGCCTTACTGCTAAATCATGAACTAGCACTCAGCTGAGCCCTCAAGGGGTTAACTCGTTAATGTAGCCTCACGCTCTTCAAGGCAGCAGGAATGGAGAGAGGGAAGACAGCATAGCACACAGACACACACACTCTGTGTGTTTGTGTGCGAGAGAGAGATGCGCATTTTCCCTTTAAGTATGCTGACCCACTCTTAAGTACACTGCCTTGTTAAGTTAATCAGCAAGGTGAGACCACAGCTGCCGCCAGGAAGCTCCCTCCGTCCTGAGCCCTGTCGTGTGTCCCCCTGCTCTATGGAGATGTGGTAAGTGTGATGCAGGAGCTAGCGGGAGGGGGACACCCTGACATTAGCCCCCCTCTTCTCCCCCCCAGCAAGCAGGAGGCTCTGGGAGCAGCTCCAAGGCAGAGGGCAGGAGCAGTATATGGCAGTGGGGGGAGGGACAGCTGAACTGCCTGGCAATTGATAGCCTGCTGGGTGGCTGCTGCACAGGGAACTTAGGGGAGCGGGGAGCTGATAGGGGGGCTGCCAGTCCACCCTGGTTCCAAGCTACCACCAGCTAGCTACAATGGGCTGCTCTTCCTGCAAGCTGTGGACAAAGCAGGTGGCTGCCAAACGATGACGTTATAAGGGAGCATTGCGCAACTTGAAACGAGCATGTTCCCTAATTTATCAACGTAACAACGTTAACCGGGATGACTTTAAGTGAGGAGTTACTGTACCTAATACATGCTCTTTGTTACAAAGATTAATGGCACTATTTGTGTGACTGAGGCTATATCTACACTATGAAATTAGGTCGAATTTATAGAAGTTGATTTTGTAGAAAGCGTTTTTATACAGTCGATTGTGTGTGTCCCCACACAAATGCTCTAAGTGCATTTAGTCGGCGGAGTGAGTCCACAGTACCGAGGCAACCGTCGACTTAAGGTCAGGCTTGGCAAAGCCCTGGCTGGGATGATTTAATTGGGGATGGGTCCTGCTTTTGAGCAGGGGGTTGGACTAGATGACCTCCTGAGGTCCCTTCCAACCCTGATATTCTATGATTCTATGACTTCCGGAGCATTGCACTGTGGGTAGCTATCCCACAGTTCCCGCAGTCTCCGCCACCCATTTGAATTTTGGGTAGAAATCCCAATAACCTGATGGAGCAAAAATGTTGTTGCAGGTGGTTCTGGGTACGTATCTTCAGGCCCCCCCCTTCCCTCCCTCCATGAAAGCAACGGCAGACAATCATTTTGCGCCTTTTTTCCTGGGTTACCCGTGCAGACGCCATACCACAGCAAGCGTGGAGCCTGCTCAGCTCACCGTCATCGTATGTCTCCTGGGTGCTGGCAGACGCGGTACTGCATTGTTACACAGCAGCAGCTCATTGCCTTTTGGCATTGGCAGCAGACAGTGCAGTATGACTGGTAGCCATCATCGCCAGGGTGCTCTTTTAGCCAACCTCGGTGAGGGCAGTCAGGGGCGCCTGGGCAAACATGGGAGTGACTCAGCCAGGTCATTTCCCTTCTAAGTTTTGTCTCATGGCGATTCAGTCCTTCCGGCAGTCGTACTGCACCGTCTTCTAATGCGCAGCCAGGAGACGACGATGGCCAGCAGTCATACTGCACCGTCTTCTGCCAAGCACCCAGGAGATGACGATGGCTAGCAGTCGTACTACACCGTCTGCTACCAGCAAGATGTATAAAGATAGATGAAGTGGATCAAAACAAGAAATAGACCGGATTTGTTTTGAATTCATTTTCTCCCCCCCTTCCTCCCTCCCCCCCCCTCCATCCATGAAATCAACGGCCTGCTAAACCCAAGGTTTTGAGTTCTGTCCTTGAGGGGGCCATTCTGTTTCTCCTTGATGCAAAGCCATCCCCTTTATTGATTTTAATTCCCTGTAAGCCAACCCTGTAAGCCATGTTGTCACTCGCCCCTCCCTCCGTCAGAGCAATGGCAGACAATCGTTTCGCGCCTTTTTTCAGCACAGATGCCATAGCTCTGGGAACATGGAGCCCACTCAGATTACCATGGCAATTACGAGCACTATAAACATGTCACACATTATCAAGCAGGATATGCAGAACCATAACCTGCAAGAAAAGCAAAACCAGGCAAGGAGGAGGCGACTGCAGTGCGGTGATGAGAGTGATGAGGACATGGACATAGACTTCTCACAAAGTACGGGCCCCTGCAATGTGCACATCATGGTGTCAATTGGGCAGGTTCATGGCGTGGAACGTCAATTCTGGGCCCGGGAAACAAGCTCAGAGTGGTGGAACCGTATAGTGTTGCAGGTCTGGGACGATTCCCAGTGGCTGCGAAACTTTCGCATGCATAAGGGCACTTTCATGGAACTTTGTGACTTGCTTTCCCCTGCCCTGAAGTGCAAGAATACCAAGATGAGAGCAGCCCTCACAATTCACAAGCGAGTGGCGATAGCCCTGTGGAACCTTGCAATGCCAGACAGCTACCAGTCAGTCGGGTATCAATTTGGAGTGGGCAAATCTACTGTGGGGGCTGCTGTGATGCAAGTAGCCAACACAATCACTGAGCTGCTGATATCAAGGGTAGTGACTCTGGAAAATGTGCAGGTCATACTGGATGGCTTTGCTGCAATGGGATTCCCTAACTGTGGTGGGGCCATAGACGGAACGCATATCCCTATCTTGGGACCGGAGCACCAAGGCAACGAGTACATAAACCAAAAGGGGTACTTTTCAATGGTGCTGCAAGCACTGGTGGATCACAAGGGACGTTTCACCAACATCAACGTGGGATGGCCGGGAAAGGTACATGATGATCGCTCGCATCTTCAGGAACTCTGGTCTGTTTCAACAGCTGCAGCAAGGGACTTTCCAGACCAGAAAATAACCACTGGGGATGTTGAAATGCCTATAGTTATCCTTGGGGACCTAGCCTACCCCTTAATGCCATGGCTCATGAAGCCGTACACAGGCACCCTGGACAGTAGTCAGGAGCTGTTCAACTACAGGCTGAGCAAGTGCAGAATGGTGGTAGAATGTGCATTTGGGCATTTAAAAGTGCGCTGATGCAGTTTACTGACTCAGTTAGACCTCAGTGAAACCAATATTCCCATTGTTATTACTGCTTGCTGTGCGCTCCACAATATCTGTGAGAGCAAGGGGGAGACGTTTATGGAGGAGTGGGAGGTTGAGGCAAATCTCCTGGCCGCTGATTACGAGCAGCCAGACACCAGGGTGGTTAGAAGAGTACAGGAGGGCACGGTACGCATCAGAGAAACTTTGAAAAGCAGTTTCAGGAATGGCTAGGCTATGGTGTGACAGTTCTGTTGGTTTCTCCTTGATGGAACGCCCCTTCCCCCCCCCCCCCGGGTTCATTCTACTTTCCTGTAAGCTAAGCACCCTCCCTTCCCCCCTTCGATCACCGCTTGCAGAAGCAATAAAGTCATTGTTGCTTCACATTCATGCATTCTTTATTTATTCATCACACAAATAGGGGGATAACTGCCAAGGTATCCCAGGAGGGGTGGTGGAGGAGGGAAGGACAAGGCCACACAGCACTTTAAAACTTATTGAATGCCAGGCTTCTGTTGCTTGGGCAATCCTCTGGGGTGGAGTGGCTGGGTGGCCAGAGGCCCCCCCACCGCGTTCTTGGGCGTCTGGGTGAGGAGGCTATGGAACTTGGGGAGGAGGGTGGTTGGTTACACAGGGGCTGTAGCGGCAGTCTGTGCTCCTGCTGCCTTTCCTGCAGCTCAACCATACACTGGGGCATATGAGTTTGATCCTCCAGCAGCCTGAGCATTGACTTCTGCCTTCTTTCAGCAAGCTGACACCACCTCCCATCTTCAGCCCGCCACCTCTCCTCGCAGTCATATTGTGTTTTCCTGCACTCTGAGATTGTCTGCCTCCACGTATTTTGCTGTGCTCTGTCAGTGTGGGAGGACAGCATGAGGTCAGAGAACATTTCATCACGAGTGCGTTTTTTTTTTGCCTTCTAATCTTCGCTAGCCTCTGGGAAGGAGAAACATATGCAGCTGATGGAGGAAAAAAAGGGAGAGTGGTAGTTAAAAAGACACATTTTATAGAACAATGGGTACACTCTTTCACGGTAGATCTTGCTGTTAACATTACATAGCACATGTGCTTTCATTACAAGGTCGCATTTTGCCTCTTATTGAGGGTATGCCAGTTTGGTGTGAGAGTGCCGGGCAACAGAATTCGGCTTGCAGGTAGCCATGGTAAGCCACAGTCTTTTGGATTCTTTAACCTTCATAACATGTGGGAATGGTTTCAAACAGCAGCCCCCTCATTTCCCATACGAAGTAGCCATTGGGTTGGTCATTAAAAATGGGTTGGCAATTTAAAAGGAGGGGCTGCGGTTTCCGGGTTCACGTGCAGCAGAAACCCAACTAACCCCCCCCCCCCACACACACACACACCCAGTTCTCTGGGATGATGGCTTCACCCCTCTCCCCACCGCATGGCTAACAGCGGGGAAGATTTCTGTTCGGCCACAGGGAAACAGCCCAGCAGGAATGGGCACCTCTGAATGTCCACTTACTAAAACCACCCTATTTCAACCAGGGTGACTATGAACGATATCACTCTCCTGAGGGTAACACAGAGAGATAAAGAACGGATGTTGTTTGAATGCCAGCAAACACCAGGACCATATGCTGCAATGCTTTGTTCTGCAGTGATTCCCGACTACGTGCTACTGGCCTGGCGTGGTAAAGTGTCCTACCATGGAGGACGGAATAGGGCTGCCCTCCCTAGAAACCTTTTGCAAAGGCTTTGGGAGTACATCCAGGAGAGTTTTATGGAGATGTCCCTGGAGGATTTCTGCTCCATCCCCAGACACGTTAACAGACTTTTCCAGTAGCTGTACTGGCCGCGAATGCCAGGGCAAATTAATCATTAAACACGCTTGCTTTTAAACCATGTATAATATTTACAAAGGTACACTCACCAGAGGTCCCTTCTCCGCCTTCAGGGTCCGGGAGCCCGCTTTGGGTGGGTTCAGGGGGTACTGGGTCCAGGTCCAGGGTGATAAACAGATCCTGGCTGGTGGGGAAACCGGTTTCTCCACTTCCTTGCTGTGAGCTATCTACAACCTCCTCATCATCATAATCTTCCTTGCCCCCAAAACCCGCTTCCGTGTTGCCTCCCACTCCTTGGACGGAGTCAAGCACAGGGTTTGGGTAGTGGTGGCTGCATCCCCTAGAATGGCATGCAGCTCATCATAGAAGTGACATGTCTGGGGCTCTGAACCAGAGCGGCCGTTTGCCTCTCTGGTTTTCTGGTAGGCTTGCCTCAGCTCCTTAAGTTTCACACGGCACTGCTTTGGGTCCCTGTTATGGCCTCTGTCCTTCATGCCCTGGGAGATTTTTTCAAATATTTTGGCATTTCCTCTGTTCAAACGGAGTTCTTCCAGCATGGATTCGTCTCCCCATACAGCGATTAGATCCCATACCTCCCGTTCAGTCCATGCTGGAGCTCTTCAGCGATTCTGGGACTGCATGGTCTCCTGTGATGATGAGCTCTGCATGGTGACCTGTGCAGGTGAGCTCGCCACGCTGGCCAAACAGGAAATGAGATTCAAAAGTTTGTGGGCCTTTTCCTGTATACCTGGACAGTGCATCTGAGTTGAGAGTGCTGTCCAGAGCGGTCACAACTGAGCACTCTTGGATAGCTCCCGGAGGCCAATACCATCAAATTGCATCCACAGTACCCCAAATTCGACCCAGCAAGGCCAATTTCAGTGCTAATCCCCTCGTTGGGGGGTGGGGGTGGGGAGGAGTACAGAAATCGATTTTAAGAGTCCTTTAAGTCGAAAAAAAGGGCTTCGTCGTGTGGACGGGTGCAGTGTTAAATCGAGATAACACTGCTAAATTTGACCTAAATTCGTAGTGTAGACCAGCCCTTAGATAAGCGGCAGCTGGCCTATTTTGCCTATTTTATTTAAATATATGATACAGTACATATGAGCAGTTAGTCTTTTGTAGCTGCATAAGTTTTATCTTCTACTAGATAAAGAGCCACTTTGCCAGATACTCTGTGTCAGTGTAAGAGATGATGTAGTAAATGAGCTTATGCTGTTAATGTATGTTTTTTTTTGTATAGGGGAACTGTAGTCTTGTGGTGCCAATCATGCTTTTGGCTTTGGATGAAATGCACTTTTTTTAGTTTGAATCAACCTCTCTACTCCATTTCAGAGGGGTTGGCATCATGGGTTTCCAGCCAGTTCACTGTCACACACCTGTTATTGACACTCTTCCGCACTTTATTCACCTTGCATGTATTAAGTGTAACATGAGAACTCATTCGTTGCTCTGTATTTTAAGTGACATATTTTTGTTCATAGTATGATGATTTCCTGGTGTGTATTTAATAATTCTTTCCTTCAGGCATTGGAAGTCATAATATAGCTTTCACTGGGAAAAGAATGGTATTTCCAGGTGCTCTTCATTATCACTAAGTTTGCTGTCAGCTAGGAAAACTGTAGTATAACATCATTGATCAATGGTAGTTTTATGACCTGTTCATCTGGCCTGACTATGGGGATTATCCAGATTATTGCTAAATAAAAGAGGGTGTATTTTTAGTCTTTCACTTTCACGACAAGTGTTTAAGGCAAACTTTGTTCAACTGGTTAGTTTTAATAATGAAATAAGTATTAGGAATAACCATGGTAACTGCTAAGATCATGTGCAGAAGCCTGAGTAGCCTCCTCCAACCTGGACTGCAGATGAAAATCTGATGTGAGACTTACTAGTTGGAGAATATCAAGAATGAATATAGTGGCAGGTTCAAGATTCTGTCTCTGCAATCTAATTTAGGTCCAGATCATGCCCTCTCCTCAGATTTTCTCCCCCTTTTTCTTCCTCCTGCAGGATTTACTGACCCTTCCTTTGAAATCTTTACAACATTTCTGTTTTGTTCATAAGCATTTACAGTTGCATTACACAGGAAGGAAAGGTCTGAATTAAGCATTGAGGAAATTGCCCATTTTTAAGAAATGCTATTTATATTAACAAAGCTAACCTTGTTCTTTAGGGCCCTGGTATTGTAGCGGCTATGTGGGGAGTCCTGGTATTTAAAGAAATAAAGGTAAGTCCAATGGTGTCCTAACTTTTTACCTGTAACTGACTTCAAGAATTGCATGTGAAATCTGAGACTTGAGGATACATGGTACAATGCTGTCTCCATGAGACTTCTTCTGCACCTGTCAGAAGTGGGCAGATGCAAGATGGAGCTTTGACCATTGTTATGCCAGAGTATTTTTTCTAAGAAAAAATTTGATGTGACTTTGGGGAGCTTTCATTCACTTTAGAAGAATGAAAACTTGAATTCCACATCTGTATAAAAAGCAGTGAGAAAGCATGAGGGACTTTTTGCAGGATCAGGAGGCAAGAGCCCAAGAACAAATGGATTATTTAAGAATATAACCAAAAGACTTTTTGGATATTAAACATGTTTTCGATTGACAAGGACAAAGGTAGCTATAACATGTTTTAGATTAATGGAGTACTATTTTTGGATGTCTGAAAGAAGATTTTAGAAGTCTCATGAGTAGACAATATACTTTGCTGTCTATACAATTTTAAAAATTGTATACTTTAGAAGTCCTACATTTTGAAAGATTAAAATGGGAATACCGCTAAAATTAGTCTCTGCTGTTTAGAGAGATTACTAAATGCTACCACTGTAACTGGAGCTGGATGAAATATTTGTCATACTTTCCCCCCCCCCTAGTTGAACAGTTGCTTGCGTGTAGTTTGTGAAATTTACATAAAACTGAAGAGCTTTGATTTTTATTTTATTTTTGGAAAAAACATTGAAAAGCCGTTTTCACTTTAAAAGTCTCCCTTGTGAAAGTTGAACAAACTTCTAGAGCTGGTGGTGCCACTGTCCCATGAGTCACATTGTCTAGTGCATTAGGCAAATAGACCCATATAAGGGATGATGCACCTAATTCCCATTAAAATCAATGAGAGTTAAGCGCTTCTGTTGGGAAAGGGCCTAAGACCCAGATCCTTAAAGGTATTGGCACTTAAGATCATGCAAGTACATGAAAGTGTCATGGACTTCAAAGGGACTACTCACATACTTAAGCATGTTCTTATAGGTACATCCACACTGACCTAAAAACCTGCAGCCCAAAATCAGTTGACCCAGGCATGCAGGGCTCAGGTGTTGAGGCTAAAAATTGCAGTGAAGACATTCATGCTTGTGCGAGCAGCCAGGCTTTGAAAGCCACCCCCCTTGCAGTGTTTCGGAGCCCAGGCTCCAGACCAAGCCTGAACATCTATACTGCAATTTTTGAGCCCTGTGAGCTTGAGTCAGCTGACCTGGACCAGCCACGACCATGCCACAGGCCTCGTATTGCCGTGTGTATATACCCATAAGCACATGC